AAACAATATTACCTACATTATACACCTTATTTGCTTAGCAAAATTCTAACAAATACTGATATTTGTAAAAAGTCACACTCACTATGTAAAATTAAAATACAATTATTACCTATATTTAGCAGGTATAGGAATGCTAGAAATGTTTGGTGAACCAGGAAAATGAGATTCACGGCAGTTGATGGAGATCATGTAGAGTATATAAGTTTTCTATCCTTTGGTACACTGTTGAGGTAATTTCCAAGGTTTTCGGCAAATGTTCCATTGCTGTTTGTATATTCTCTGGTTCTCCACAGACCTACAGAAATAAAGTTATACAGGGCGGTCCAATAGTGCGTGGATGGAAGATTCCTCGTAAACAAAAATTCCTGAGAACAATATTTGAAGAGTGGTAATTCAAAAGCGTCTAAGTGCCAGATTTAGGTATTTTCGAATTTCAGTACTTTTAAGGTCTATGTATCACTGCCAATAGTATACCAAACAGTCTATGTGCTAGTCAACAACCTGCAGTTCTATATACGTATTTCAAATTTAGACGCTTTTGAATAACCACTCTTCATTTAGGAATTGACATTTTTAAAATGTCTATTTAACATTATAAAGGCTATCCTAAACTCGAGAGCTACATATCAAAGTTTTATTTTTTAAAATGGAATAGCCCATATTTTATTACGCATTCAGATAGGCTCTTCCAAAAGAAGAATGTTGTTACATTACATATTGTCACGAAAACACCGTTTTTACTATTTTAATTCTAATTTATTAGGCTCAATTTACTACAATACAGGGTGTCCGCAAAGTTGGGGTTTTCCTTTACACGACGTGTAGATCTTGAAAACATAAGCAGTTTTTCTTAGTACCATATACACCAATACCAATGTCTTAAGGGAACCGAGATAAAGGGCTCTGCAACATCAAAAATATCTGAATTCCGTCCTGTAGCCGCGACATCCCCCAGTGGTACTCGGACACTAGCTCAACCCGACGACAGAACTGGGTCGCGGTCAGTGTGTCAGGTCAGTATGCAACCTTCAACCTACGGTTACGGTCACGCGTGTAGAGATAATCGCGTAGACGTGAATCCCTCAACAAGCACTAGAGACGTGGCTAGAGAAGTGCAAGTATCAAAAACTAAAGTCTGGCAAACGCTGCGTGAAGAGCGGCTGTATCCGTTTCACGTCCAACTTGTACAAGCCCTTCAACCTGACGATTTTCCAGCAAGAGTGGGGTTTTGTGAGTGGTTGTTGCATCAACATGACAATAATCCGGACTTTTGAAGTGCATATTGGTGACAGACGAATCTACGTTCACGCGTAATGGAGTGAATAACTTTCGCAACACTCATGTTTGGTCAGTAGAAAATCCGCACGCTGCCCGTCGGGCACATTTTCAACAAACATTTTCGGTGAATGTTTGGGCTGGCATGGTGAACGGTATGCTCATTGGACCATTTATTCTCCCAAATCGAGTGGACGGGATGCAATACCTAGACTTTTTACGCAACATTTTGCCTTCCTTGTTTGCCTGCGTCTGCTCGGTAGCGCATCAGCTGATTTCATTTTCTGTTGGAGCGGTATGATTTCGGGCAGAGACGTACTTAGCCCTTCTCGTCAACTGGAAAGTGAGTACTTTTTCCTTTATTTTTTTTTACTTGGTCGCCCTCGTTTCACTACACATTACCTATGTTATTTCAAGGGTAGTTGTTTCTGAAAAGGAAAACCCCAACTTTACGTATTTGCAACAAAATTTATTAGAAATTTATGATTATGTCGACTGGACTATCGCGTCTGGCGCTGCTGACTCATCATCGACTGTCTACTCTCGGCCATCTGTGCGTATATTTATATTTTATCGATGAATTCCACAAGCACACTCTTGCGTCTTCTCGATCGAAATCGAGACCTCGTCGAAGTTGTCGATACTAATCGATGTGGACCGAACGTTCGCGAATATGAGTACGCTCCATGCATGGTCGCGTAATTCTGGTTGCCTAAGCGTAGATGTTGCAAGGGCGTCTTATCGGTACTAGAACAGTTATGGACTAGTCAAAAAGGGCGTTCAATTTTGATGGCCCGCCAATCCGACATTTTGAAAAGGTATTTATTTTCAAAAAATCAATTTTCAAACACATTCATTTTTACAAAACTAACTTTTTTCAAAAATTTCTACTGGAAAACATATTTTTTACAACCCTCGTATCTACTTTAAATAACCTATTTTTGGATAAAAAGGGACTTTGTAATATCTAATGGTATTTGAAATATCACGTAATTTATATTTAGCATATTAAAGCAAATTGTTAACTTGAGTCATCTGTGGGTTCAAAGCACGAGTATTGGGATAAATACATAAGGATTTTTCGAATTTGCCCTCCCTGAAAAATTTGCTGCCCCCCACTCTTCTAAAATTGTGTGTGCTGGTTGTGACTGTCTAGTGAATGTAACAGAAAGTTGACCGTTTCTGTCAACATTTTTTAACTCTCATATAAATCATCAGACGTTTATTTCATTTCATTGTACAATTCACCCATTCAATATTCTGTTTTTTGCATGTTTGGCTTCTGTGATGATGGAGGTTATTTGAGAATCTGTATCAGTACTCTTCTTCTATTTCCGATTTATTTCACGAATGAATTTGATATGCTAAATATTAATAAAACAAATTTTCTAAAATTAATAGTATCATGTGGCCTTTCCCCCAAATGCAAAGTCACTGTCTTAGAAGTAGGATAACAGTTAGTATTTGACCCACAAGAACTGGATACCAAAATTCACTTCATACGTCCAGGATAAAGATCCTATGCATATTAACTTAATACCTGTGGGAGATACAGCTTAGGTTAAATTAAGAAAAAGTTGCGTTCTTTGCGGAGTGAGCGCCTGGCATCTTTGACGATAATAAACCAACATTAACAGTACACAATAATTAACAATACTCGGTGACAGGTATTTACGTCAAGTCAGGCATTTCTTTGCAACGCCTACTTAAAAAAACAAATAAAACGCATTTTCACTATAACCAAGCAAATAAATGTAACATGTGATACATCATTGAATTCGTCTAAAAATGCTATTAGATACCTGGTGTACTTTTTATGGACCATATACAAAAATAAAGTTGATGATGGTTTCTCAAACACGGAACGTCGGACACAAAATTTAAAAACACCATCATGCAGTTCCTAAAAAGTGCCACTGAAAAAGTTCCATGCGTTTTTTGATATTTCTTGAAATAAAGTCAGGAAAAATAAAAACAACATGACATGACAATTTTTACAAGTTTCTCAATGGCAAGTAAATTCATCCCAAAGAACACAGTTTTTTCCTAATTTACCCTAAGCTGTATCTTTCATAGGTATTGAGATTCCCATGTATAGGATCCTTATCTTGGACACGGATACGTATTTTTGTTGTTGTTGATTGATATATTTTTGCAAATAGAGCACATATTTGGACAGGCCCTGAATACTGGAGAGTTCAATTTTACAATAAAATGAAATAAATGTCTGATGATTTATAGGGTAAATTAGAAAAAAAGTCAACAGAAACGGGCATCTATTTGTTACATTCACTAGACAGTCACAACTAGCAACTTTAAACCCTTAGGCAATCTAAAAAACATTCATGCAACCAAAAAATTTGTAGGTATACTTACACCCTATTTCACGAGTATCCATCACGGGACCATGACAGCTAATTATCTAGTAATATTTGAAAATTTACCATATCGGCAAAGGACAGATCCGTCAATGCCAGGTGACAGAGTCATATTTTGTTTTGGTTTTTTGTACGCAAAAGATACATTTTGTACATACTAAAAGTTCTTTTATCTGGAAAAGTTTATTTGTATACAAAAACAGAAAAGCTACTAACAAATTTTTGCTAGATTTACGAGGGATGTCTTTTAAGTTTTGCATATAGAAACATAGTAGGCCGCGCGGATCGAACGTCAGTACTGAATCTTAAGCTCACTCTTTAGTAAACTTAAATTCAAAGTTTCACAACAATAGCGCAGTGTTCTTACTACAGTGAATTTTTAAGTGTCACCAAGTCATTAGAAAAATGGAGAACACAACCGAGAACATTTTCGAGCCATAATTTATTACAACTTTCAGAGACAATTATCGCAACAAGAATGCCTTGCTGAGTTACTGTCTGTTTTCGGCAACGAAGCGCCACATCAGTCGACAATTTCCCGTTAGTATGGAGAATTCAAACGTGGACGGGTGAGTCTTAGCGACAATCCCAGGGTGGGTGCACCAAAAACGGCAGTCACCCAGGAAAACGTCGATGCTGTGCGCAAACTCATCATTGAAGATAGAAATGTGACATATCGCGAGATTGAGGCGTCCTTGAAGATCTCAAAGACCTCAATTCAAAAAAATTTAGATGACGAATTAGGAGTAAGAAAATTAGTTGGATACCCCACCTGTTGACTGAGGAGCAGAAAGCAGCCAGGATTAATTGGTGTCAAAAAACACTTGACCGTTTCAATTCCGGAAACTCAAAAAATGTGTACAGCATTGTTAGTGGTGATGAATCGTGGATTTACTGTTATGAACCAGAAAATAAACGACAGTCGGCTGATTGGGTGTTCCAAGGTGAAGAAAAGCCAACAAAAGTCATCCGTTCTCGAAGTGTTTCGAAAAAGATGGTCGCGACATTTGTGTCAAAAGCGGGTCATATTGCAGCAACTCCTCTTAATGAGCAAAGAACTGTTACTGCAAATTGGTATACCACCATTTGTTTGCCAAAAGTCATTACCGAGCTTTGAAAAATCAATCCCGAAAGAAGAATCATCCTCCACCAAGACAATGCAAGCTCACACACAGCCCAAAAAACAAAGCAGTATTTAACCAACGCAAACGTGGAATTATTGGACCGTCCTTCATATAGTCCTGATCTAAGTCCTAACGACTTCTTTATTTTCCCGAAAATTAAAAACAGACTGCGTGGTCAAAGGTTCCAGTCACCAGAAGAAGCAGTTGACTCATTCAAAAATGCCGTTTTGGATTTGCCAGCAAACGAGTGGAATAAGTACTTTGAAAATTGGTTCAAGCACATGCAGATGTGTATTAATCTTTGTGGAGAATACTTCGAAAAACGATAAAGTCAGTTAAAATTACCTACGGTGTTGTATTATTTCCATATGCAAAACTTAAAAGACATCCCTCGTACACCCAATTCATTATAGGGAACATTGTAGACTAACACAAAAATTTAACTTGCTGATCAGCTGTTCACCCCAGTAGACATTAAAGAATGATGGATACTCGTGAAATAGTGTATGTGTATCCTAAAAAAAAATTCTGATCATAGGGCGCTCGCGGCAATTTTTCTCAGGGGGGCATCATGGGTAAAAGATAACTTTTAGTAAGAGTGTAATCAGGAAGAGTGAGGGTAGTAAATTTTTCCAGGAAAGACCAAATCATAAAAATACCGAAAATTGCAGCCCTCCCCCCACCCAAGGGTGACTATGGTTCAGATGTTTGCTGAATTAGCATAAGACCAAATATATTGACAATGAAGAGGGGGGGTTGGGTATGCAATTATTGGAAATAAAGACATGTTTCATATTTATATTACTTGCCAAGTTTATCATGAGCTATAAAAAATCTAGAACAATTTTACATATTTGGAACTGTTTTTTATGCAAATCAGCAATATTCATTCCCTTAGAAGTGGTGCTTGATTTTATAAGTCTTTAGCTGAAAAAGGTAGAGAAATGCTTCTGTAGACCTCATTAAATTTTGGTTGTATCAATGCTATTTAAATACAGTACTTTTGATCTTTATCCTCTTCAATGTCATGAGTAAAATTATGGTTTTCACAACATCAAGAGAAGCTATTTCTCAGATGTCATATTCTTTTTTTATTTTTTGTAAATCTAATTAAAGTTGTTCCTTGACTCACCCTGTGGAGTAAGCTTGACTTTGTTGGTAAACTGTATATAGCAATTTTTGCTCCATTCCTTATAAGAAATGAATGATGCTTTGCTAAGGTTTGCTCATATGCGTCTTTACATACTCCACTGGTGCTATCTTCATTCTGTATTTCTCCAATTTTCTTCAAAAATAGATGTATGAATTCTAAAACCAAACAACATTAAATAATCAGGTCTTCAGGAAGTTACATTATATCACTACCAAGGCCTCTATGCAATCTCAGTAATGTTCTACTTCCTGAGGTATATCCATCTTTATAAAGTAATTCATTCTGCTTTTCATACTCAATCATTCCCTTAACACTTTTAAAACTATCAGGATCCCTTGAGTCTTTCATAAGTTCTTGTAATAAATTCATTTTTGCCCTAAGGTCTTTACTTACAAAACCAAATACTGTTCCAATTAGATTGAAAAACCTGAAAGAGAAATATGATCAAATATGGAGAACCTACCATATCATCTTATTATGCACTTGTAATGGAAAAAAAACACACAATTTAAATACTTACTTGTTCAGTTCCTCAAAACTGTCTAAATAATACTGTAATAACACATCGTCATCTTCGTGAACTGCAGCTTCAAAATTTTCATGTACTAGTTTGATATTGAAATAATCCTTTGCCTGAGACATATTACAATTTAATTAGCGAAGGCCTGTGACTTAAACGCAGCTATTTTACACCTCGTGTACACGTCAACTATATTCAAAATTCATACAAACTGATAAAATTGTTTACAAGAGCTGTCCTATATTTATTGGTTGGGTTATGAATTAATGTCAAAATCAGCTGTTAATAACTGACACAGAACACGTAGCAATAAGATTTTTTTGGGAGTGCAGGACAGTGCACAGTGTAGTACCGACTGGGAACAGACACCCACAGAAAATATACACTGAAGGTTTAGTCTAGTCACCTGGTATCCATGCATGCGACGTTGCCGACTCGTTGCATAAATCTGAGACTTCTATAATTATATATTGGGCATTTACTAATGATATATGGAAGTTTTTATAACGACATGTGTTATTAACATATTTGTGCTGTTTTGACAAATAAGTATTCACTTATCTGTTAAAGCAGCAGCGTCAATAGCACAGGCCATTATAAAGCCATCCATATATCCTAGATACTTGAAATTTTGAAAACAGTAAAAGAATCTATACTTGGGAATATATTTTTATCTAAATTTTATATTGTATGAACACATCACTAATATTTATGGTCCGAATATTTTCATTTCTGGTGATGGTCTTCTGTAGCACTTGCTTGGAAAAATTGTTAGAATTAGTGATGAAAACATATTATTTCAAAAAGAAATAATAGTTTTCGTTAACAACTGTAGAGTTACTAGAGTACCAGATTTTTCATAAGAATTGTAACACAGGGATATCTAGTCACATTTCTATAACAGTGATAAACAGAATGCAAATGTTTTTAAGAAAATATGATTATATCATACTTTTTAAGCTATACATATTTACTAAAGTAACAAAACCTTTTATGTTGAAGTTCATATTCAAACTTGAAATCTTGAAGATTGTAGTGAGTTTCTCATATCAACTACAGAATACCAATATTAACAGAGAAGCGCTAGAAATCACTCGATTTGTCATTTTTTGTATACTCCAACTACCACGAAGGCCTAAGGCCTAAACACCCATTGGGTACCGTGGGGCTATAGGGGGATACAGGGGAAAGGGAGAACACCACCCAGTCTCTGGCGAGGGAACACGTGTGCATGTAACATGCACACATTCTGGCTCCGCCTACGAGATCCGCCGGGTGGTACCTCCGCGTTCCACAGTCAGGGACCGTCTACCACCTACGGACACTCACAACATCCATAGCCAAGAGCAAAATTTCTCCTGGGACGGGATTCGAACCCGCACAGCGCACGGCGACTGATCAGGAGACCGAAGAGTCTACTACTGCGGCCACCGCTGCTGCCTAGACATAAATTTACATTAGCCATAATTGTGAAACGCATTGGCCATTGTCTTGATGCACTCAATTGTCGAGGTATATGCTCTGAAGAGACAAGAATAGCAGGTAACTCTATATTCTATCTATATCTGATCACCAGGCAGCAGCGGTCGCCGCAGTAGTAGACTCTTCGGTCTCCTGATCAGTCGCCGTGCGCTAGACGGTATCTGACTATCGAACGCGGAGGTATAGAAATTGTATTACATGAAAATATATATTTATTTCAAATTGATGTTCAGTGTTGTAAAACACAAGTGTCTCACTTCATTATACCCCTTCTTGATAATCCTGAAACAATACAGAAAACACTAATGTAATTCATAATTCCTTGTAAATAAGCTGATCACTTTTCATTAGTTTGCTCAGTTCTATCCCTTCAATTTGTTGGCCTTTCATACTTAATACAACGGTGCCAATTACAAGGATTATAAAGAGGCTGAATCCAAACATGTAATTTTAAATGAATAATCTACTAAATACTGTATATACATCATGGCGATATGTAAGTTCACAGCCTACCTGTAGCACTTTATGACATGACAGAGTCGCCTGAACTTCTGCATCTCCCACAATAGTCACAATACATTTCACGTATACCATTTCAGGTACTGATAGTGTTGTTTTATATTTTATGCTCATTTTTTATGAAATATCGCCAAAAGCATCAGCGTTGATAATTTCGATATTAACCAAAATAAACGAAATATTTGATATTTTTACATTCAGAAATTCAGCTAAAGCTAAAGATAGAGAATCCCGGGAGGGTTGCCAAGTTTTCAGTCACGTTGGTCGTCAAGTTTTGATGAGAAAATCGTCAGAAATCGCCAATCCAAATTAACTAGGAGTCTAACCATAAAACTCCGGTTAGAGATTGAAATGGATTTGTCGCCCGCAGAGGTGAAATAGTAACTGGCCTAAGCACCTAAGTAGCCTGCCTGTTGACGATAACTGAAGAGTGGAGATGAGGGGGGTTAGGCAAAATAATATTCCAAGAATCCATTGAAAAGCTGTGGGGTGAGGATGGGGGGTTGTTAGACACGTGTAATATTAACGAAACGAAGTTCGTTTACAGGGAGGCGGATACAGAGGTGGCGGGACTGCTGGATGTTCTTGTGATATTGTGACAACAGGAAAGGGGAGAAGGGTTAGCGACTATTGGAAATTGAAGAACGGGGAGACAATAATTTTCTGAGTGAACCTTGGGGGAGAGGGGGTAGCTCTCTCATCTTTTCCGGTTATCGAACAAAAATTGTATAATAATCGTACATAAGCAACAGTGTCAAAAGTGTTAGGTTGGAATGTCGTTGATATGTTCGGATCACACGACACATTGACATGACATTTGACCATAGCCGTCATTGTGCTTAAAGAACAGAACTGCCGCTAGACCTCGTTCCATGTTTCATCAATCTCTACTGAAAACCAAATTAGTCTGACTATGTTACACCAGTTCCTTGCATTAAGGTGCATGTTGAAAACATGCGTTAGTTTACTCTCTACGGATCTTGTACATTCCTAGGCAAGGTTTCCACCTCCATGATCATGGACGAGCGATTTTGGTCAGTGCCCATCTAGCGCTCATTGAGGAGTGTCGCCCTGCTTTGAGTAGGCCTACTTCTTGGGTTTGACAGTAACCTAACCTATTGTAGAAGCCAGTGCGAATATTTTCTGGCCCAACATTTTGGCAACATCGAAGCTTGCACGAGCTTCTGCGTCGCCGTTGCTAGGCATCTATCTCTTTCTAACGTGTCGATGCACACTTCTCGCGCTTCTCTCACGTACAAATTAAACTCAAGCTGTCAGACAAATTTGTTTTTTCCTGTATACACAGCAAAAATTGATTACAAATTAATTGGCGTCAGAAATGTTAAAAATCGCCAGATATCGTCAGTTTGCTGGGTACTGGGCGCCATTAAAGTAGCCAGTCGCCAAGCTAGCCATTTGAAGCCGTCAAATCGCCACTTTGGTGAAAAATCGGCACGCCTGACAACCCTGAATCCCTGCAAGCCCACGTCTCGAGATGCCGGTAATACAGTTACCTCGATTTTGTCTGGAGAGGAAAACAGAGAGGATGACCTTGGTGATACCAGTTCGCGCTTAAAACGTTTCACTCCTTGGTTAACTAAAAATGACAGCAATAAACCGACATACTTGTCAAAGCCGCAATTGTTTCTGGATGCCAACAGTGTTGTCAGGCAACACCGCACTGTTTCCCATATGAGTTGACTCCCCATGAGCACCACCACCACACGGCACAAAACATATACCCACAAAATATATACAAAAGAAGGTACGGTCCCATGCCATTCATGGGGCAACGCGTTTGACTTATGTCAGTGTCAAGCCGCCATTTTGTTCTGGATGCAACATGGTTGCCAGATTGGGCACAAACGCCATCAGCGACATAAATCAAATCCAAGCGAATAACCAAAATTTCTGTGTTATGTGCCGCGGTTATAATATGGTTCAAGATGACACACGGATTGATGACGTCAGTTACACGAATCGCTTGAACGCCTTGGTTTTAACCGCGGTTTTGTTGCAAGTTGTTTATTTTAGAAAAGCGCGTATATAATCTCTGATTATTTTTATTATCACTTAATAATCGGTGCCTTTTCGTCTACAACTGTGTATGGAAAGTTTAAAAAAGAAACCTTTCATAATATTCATGGGAGAAATGTTTTTTCAGATTTTTTTTTTAATGATGGAACCATGGCTTTTTAGCTATGATAACTTTCAATTCTCTAAAGTTTTCCGCATGTCAAAGAAAACATTTATTGATTCAGCAGAAATGATGAAAAAAGAAATTAGCAAAACCGTATACAGGTGGATATCATCTAGTGAGTTTATATGGCCGTATTTTAATATTCTTGTGGTATATGGCTACACAGAGGATACTTTGTTAAGCATAGGAACTACATTTAAAGTGTCCCCATCAACAACAGTAATGAGTATAACTAAAAAGATGCTCCACTTTATGGTAAAACTGAAGTCAGCCTGTATCAAGTTTCTCAAAAATGAAGCTGAAATATAAAACTACTCCTGAGTTGGGTAAATACCACAATTTTGCGGTGATAACTATGACATATAACAGCTGATTCATGACGTCACGGATCGTATAACCAAACTGATAACCACACTCGCTTGAACGGATCGGTAAATACCAACCCACAATTGTAGGGACGACTAACGATACGCGGCCTTAGTGGCAATATGGAACTAGCCCACTGTTTGTCTTTTGTTTCCATGGATGATGTGATTTTTTTCCTTAACACATTAACTGTCCATATGCAAATCAGTAACTCCACCCATACGTCCACCATTAAATATGGCATGCTCCATATGTGGTTCATGGGACGTTATCCTAATATTGAGATTATGATAACGTCCCATGCGCCTCATATGGCTCATGCACATTAGATCAAAAAACAAAAAAAGACAATTTTAACTTAACCTTAAATTATTTATTAGGGAGTTTTCGCATGCCACTTAACGTGCTGCGGTATTTTCTAGGCACGTTATTTTGACTGATACGCATGCTCAGTTGTGGGTTTCATGATAGCGGGCACTAATTACGTCCGCCTAGCGTAATTTGTGAACACTTAAATCAAATCCAAGCGAATAACCAAAATTTCTGTGTTATGTGCCGCGGTTATATGGTTCAAGATGACACACGGGTTGATGACGTCAGTTACACGAATCGCTTGAACGCGTTGGTTTTAACCGCGGTTTTGTCGCAAGTTGTTTATTTTAGAAAAGCGCGTATATAATCTCTGATTATTTTTATTATCACTTAATAATCGGTGCTTTTTCGTCTACAACTGTATATGGAAAGTTTAAATAAGAACCTTTCATAATATTCATGGGAGAAATGTTTTTTTTTAATGATGGAACCATGGCTTTGTAGCTATGATAACTTTCAATTCTCTAAATTTTTCCGCATGTCAAAGAAAACATTTATTGATTCAGCAGAAATGATGAAAAAGCGATGAAAAAAGATATTAGTAAACCGTATACAGGTGGACATCATCCAGTGATTTTATATGGCCATATTTTAAAATTCTTGTGGTATATGGCTACACAGGATACTTTTTTAAGCATAGAAAATAGATTTAAAGTGTTCTCAATAACAGTAATGAGTATAACTAATAAGGTGCTCCACTTAATGGTAAAACTGAAGTCAGCCTGTATCATTTTTCTCAAAAATGAAGCTCAACTACAATAACAATATCCAATACCCGGCAAAATTCTAACTTGTCACATTTCAAATAATAACCAGAAATATAAAACTACTCTTGAGTTGGGTAAATACCACAATTTTGCGGTGATAACTATGACATATAACAGCTGATTCGTGACGTCACGGATCTTATAACCAAACTGATAACTACACTCGCTTGAACGGATTGGTAAATACCAAGTCAAAATTGTAAATACCATTTCCATTTGGTTATCCGCTTGAATTTGATTTTAGTGCGAGGCGGTATATGATCATTTCGTGGATACCCGGAACCAATCGGGCGATGATCGTTATGATTTGGGGTTAGGTGCTGTTAATGGGTGATTTTTCTTAATTTGAAAAAAAATCGGTTGGCCTGTGGTTTTCATTTTTATTCATAAAGTTTGTATTGTGTACTGCGAAAGAAGTCAAGCGAACGGGTAGCTTGTTAAGAACGCTGTGCAAAATCCCAGTCTCCAACTCCTCGTTGTTCACTGCCCCTATAGCGACCAAATCAAGAAGTTCTTGTATATCCATTTCGTCATCCGTATAAAATTCACCTGGTACAAGAACTTAATGAAGACGATTTTGATCTAATCCAAGAATTTATCATGAGGTTCATACACAGCAGCCACAAAAATTAAATGTTTGGGCTGGTATTTTTGGCGATCATTTAGTTGGTCCTTTTTTCTTACCTGGAAATATGACCGGTGAAATGTATTTGGAATTACTGGAAGACGCCATAAATCCTGTATTAACAGCCATAATTGAAAATCAGAATGATCGGCGGTACATTGCGAATAGGTTGATGCTCCAGCAAGATGCTGCCTCACCACATTACGCATTACGTGTTTGACAATATTTAGATCAGACGTTTCCAGATCGATGGATTGGTAGAAGAGGTGCCATTGAATGGCCCCCAAGAGAGCCAGATTTATCACCTTTCTATTTCTTTATGTGGGGTCATTTAACTCTTTCAGGGGCAAGATATATTCATAAAAAAAGTCCTAGAGGGGCAAGAATTTATAAGTCTTTTTATTCAACTTTAAAGCATCAAAACAGCTAAACAAAAGTTATAAAACTACATAAAAAATAAACTAGAATAGTTATTTTAACAATTTTTGTGGTAAAACTGGTGGTACAGTTTATGTACCAGCGCACAATAATGAAACTAAAATATAAATTATTTTCTATGATAATCTTGAAAGCAAGTTTTGTATTTTCCTACACAAAGAGGTACTTCGCACACTGAGCAAATCCAGTCAGTCCTAACCTGCTTTTTTTAAGTGCTACACCTAGCACATCGGCATCTGGTGTCCCTTTTAGGTTGATGCGCACTCTCAGTGATTCTCACTTCCACAGGCACATATGGTTTTTGCTTTTTTATAGCCACACCAGTAGATGAAGATGATTGTCTTTTTTTTGCCACGATGGTTTCTGCAACCAAGAAATTAATCACCTCTCTTCTAAAGTCCTTCATTGACAATTTTGGCATGTTAAGTTCTT